TCAACGAGTCAATATCGGTGATCAACTTTGCTGGTGTTTATCCTGGCTGGAGGTGAGTGTAGACAAGTCCCTGCTCGTGTGCTGCTACGATAGGCAAGTGATATTGACAAAAGCGGCTAGGTTGCACAGGTCTAATGTCCTCCGTAGCTTTATGCACGATACTGCAGCCGAAGCCTAGTGGCACGCTTTTGTCGAGCTGCAGAAGCGCCTCTTGCGTTGCGGCGCCGGTCCATTTCTGATGTTGACATTTAATCACGAGCTCACGAGATCAGCTCTTTTGATGGACTGTATGATGGCATTGCAGAAACCTCGATGGGATACAGTCGACTGTTCCCTGCTTGAGTTCTACTGTTTGCGGATCTAGCCTTGGGGGGGAAGAAAATGAAAAACCAGACAAGCGCGTACGATTGCCGAGTACGCCATCCTGATAGATATGGACTTGTATGGGGTCCTGTGATGATCCGAAGACTTGTGATGACCTATCAAGGATGAGCTCTGCACCGAGAGCATTCGCCTTCCTTGGAGCCTAGGCTATGTATGTTTCACTGGACCGGGGCGAGTGCCCGATGGAGATGGAAAGCTTGTGCTCTTAGAACGTCATTCCCACATTGAGGCCAATGAAGGGGCAAATATCGCCCTCGCGCAGAGAACTGCCTTTGGGATCAGAGATATGCTGAGACGGGACATGATTGGCCCCGTTCTGTAGAATCCCTGGCCTGGATCATATACGAAGAGGCGCCACAGCTGAATGCGCGGCTTCGACCGCGCCGATTCTGCGATTGTGGGCTGCCCGGAACCGACGTGCTGCCCATGGCAAGATCAGGTTATATCTAGCTGCAAATTTTGAGTTCAGTTTACGACGGCAACCCGTTTGATTAGACTGTGTTTGTCGGCTTGTTTGCTTTGCGCTATACTGGATTACTGCGAAGTTGCCGCGATAGTCGTAGCCACCAGAGAGGCGAGGAGGAAAAATATAGTACTGTAATGAGTGTGTCATCCTGGTCCGTCCGCACTCGAGCGCCGCGTGGATGCGGTTTTGGGTTGACATTTAGTATGGTGGCATGTGGATTTAGTCTTTCTCAACGCTCAAGAAGTGACCTCGACCGGTAAGCCAAGTTCCGCTTCTTTGCAACGGGCGCGCGTAAGTGCGCAGCGCTCTGCTGCTGCTGCTACTGCGACAGCTGCTTCTGCTGCTACTCTACCAACCCCTCTTCCGGGTCATGCCTTGTTGCCCGCTCGTTATGCAGACAGACTGACAGACAGATGGACACGACTATGAATGGAACGAAACGGCGCGCTTCGAGGAGGACATGATCTCCTTCATCGCGGCCGCCACAGCTCTGGGTTGCGAAAAAGCGCGGCCGTGGAGCCTCACCATGTGACTCAGCAGACTGCTCTCATATTCCGCGAGAAAAAGGTGTCGTGAGGGTGGTCCAGACTCTGGGGAAGCAACCACAAGGAGGGAGGGGGGAGCGAGATGGAAAGAGGGTGTGAAGCAAGATAGGCTTCAGAGGCTTTCAGGCCGCGGCGGTCGCATAGGCAGGCCAGGGATGATAGCAGACGACGACTAGGGTTCTCGCGCCGAAGCGACCGGAGATGCAGAGCAAAGACTATTGGCTGCCGCTGACTGCAACTATTCTTGGAGGAGCTCCATCTGGCCAACCAGCTGACATGTTCTCTAGCACGGGCCATCTGCTGCAAATCATCAATCCCTCGCCGACTCTGACCCCACACAGCCTTTACATCAATGTACATAACGCTAGTATGGCATGGGATCTATGTATTGTGGGTCTGGGCATGGATATCTGCTGCTAACCCCAATGCTTGAGTTGCATCCGCACAAGCCCAGCTGCATCAAACCTGAACATGGGAGGGGGAGGCCATGGCACAGTCCCAGGGTTGTTTCTTACGGTTGACCACAAGAGCAAAGGCAGGCAGGCAGGCAGGCAAGAAGTGGTTATCTTGTTAGAGCAAAGATGCCAGAAGAGAGCAGTCTCGAGTCGTGCATCGAACGCTCACCCCACCCTGCCCAAGCGCATTACACTGACAACCTTAGCAAACGCGACTTATCTGATAGTGAAGAGAGCGTCCATGATTGACACCCTCCCGCGCCACGAGGTACTTGGTCTTCCTCAGATTCTCGTGAGGGTTATTGGTTTTATTGGACATGGGGAACAAAAAGACACGAAAAGCAGCCATACTATCAAACACTACCGATACACTAAACGGGGCGGCAATCTGTGTCAAGGGCTTTAGCCGTAGGTACTACCTAGCTTTCTATACTGCGTGGAATACAATCGGAATCTGGATAGCAGCTCGGCATTTGGAGGGCCATGTCCTTGTCCCATTGATCGCTGGAGTACACTCCATCGATCATGGCCCGAAAAGAACATGCATTTGATTCATACAAGCTGCACTGGGGTTTCCACTTGTTAGTGGTGACCCTCCTCCCTCTGCACACCCAACGGGACAGCCCTGGCTACCCGCTCTGCAGACAGTCACACTGATCAGCCACGAGCTTATATTTGCTTTTCCTGAACCAAACTGCTTGCAGTATACCAATAGGAGCCTCTGACTTACACAGACGCACGCAATTCGCGAGTCACGACTCAAGAGGGAGAGAGCCTATTGTCACCAAGCCTGGCTCAGTTCGACTGTTGAGTGCTTGACGGGAAATTCTCAATATGGGCAGCCCTGGCACATCTTTCCGCTGCACCCAGCCGCTCTGACGAGCATTTCTGAGGTGTCAGCTGACGACTCGGCTTGCAAAAAGTTAAATACTTCCATATGCTTTACTTCAAGTAAGCCGCCCTATCCTGGTGACAAATTGTAAACAAAGGATGCATGGCCAGTAGTAAGGAATCACGATTTATAGTGCTCGGAATGAGCAGTGGTCGCACGACAGTCGGAACTCCCTCGACGGCCTCGAACACAGCATATTCCTAAAGTTTCGATATGGATCTCGGTGTTTCATGTTTAAACACAATGGTTCCTCGAAACCCCAGCTTCTGGTAACAGTGGGGAGTTGCATCTTCGGGACGTTGTATTCTACTGTTCTGTCGATTCGCAACATTCCGAAGCTTGAGTATGCGTCAGCAGGCCAGAACATTGACGGATTCTTGCATATCGGATCCCTCTTCAGTCGCTATAGCTGCGCGGATGTTGACATCTGACAAGATGTATGCCGTGTCTTGAACGGCTATCGTGCAGATGCCAATCTTGCACTTGCACCCAACCACTCCGTTTTTTTTTTCCCTCCCCATTCGCAGCGCACCTTAAACCCCGGTTGGACTATATGCTATGTTGGTCGCTCTGCCGTCTAAGCGGACGAAGCAGCGGGCGGGCTCCGCGACCTTCTGCCTAATGTAGGTAGGCAGGTATCCAAACGTTATTTCCCATTATCTCCTGCATATGTCCCATTAACTTCCGCAACTGTCACTGTTTTGGATGGTTGTCCGTGTATATAATTAATTCACTGTCACTAGACTAACCTAAGAGTTGCGTCTGCAAGAGCAAACGTGACACTGAATCTATTTGAGCAAGCGAGGGGCTTTTGCAGTATACTTAGCGTTGGGTATACCTTGCACGCCCTCTGTCGCTCTTTGCGCCTCGACAACCTGGAAGTCTCACCTGAAGCTGCATGGATGATGATCCGACGGTGTGATCTGTTCTCATGAGACGAGTTCTAATGCACGGCAAAATTATCGATGTCAAATCCCGGCAATTGTCTTTTTCTTCTTTTCTTTTCGCAATTCTCTGCCCACAATCTCAAACGTTTTCAATAATCGTGTCGTATCATACAAACTCGACTGGTCTATTTTCAGGGGCGCAGCGTTGATTCGGGGTCCCACCATGATTCTGGAATATAGACATAGTGACGCAAGCGAATATGGATGAAGTTGTCGGCTATAACGCCCGAGGGTCATTTGATTCAGACTAATATATGAAAGAGTCATCGTATTTCTGCAGCCCTAGGCTTGGGTATCCTTCTGGGGACTGTGTGACACGGCATAATCTTTTAGAGGGCGGTAGGTGGGGGTTTGCGACATTCGTTTCGGTCATCTGTTCACTTATATGGACTGACCGCACATGCAAGTCTTGCCTCTGGACCGCCTTCTTTCGCAGCCACAGTATGCGAACCTCTGCATCGTGATGTAAAGGGCTGGTATTCCTCGGCTGGTACTGAGATCCGATTATTACATATCATCCCAGGCCTTGCTGTTCAGCTGTCCGGAAACGCGGTTGTGACGCGCAACTCAAAAGCCAAGAGAGCACTACTAGCAGTCAACAAATGCTCATGCCTTCAGTGCACGAACTAGCTCAATGATCCCCAACGTGGAATTGGAAGTGAAAGGCACCTATAATGTGTCGTGTCTACCATGTAGAGAGACGCCTGAGCGATCAATCGTCTTCACAAGAGCGCAAAGGGTTTCTTTCTACAGGGGTACTTTTGCCAAAGTCATTCATCGTTGCCGTTCTTTTTTTTTTTTTTTTTTTTTTTTTTTTTTAATAAATTCTCGAAGCGTGTAGAGATTGAGATTGGCCCATCTGAGTCGATGCAGAGAAAAGCCACGTTGCGGGTCAAAAAGGTAAAAAACGAAGAGCGTTTTCCTGGTTGACCCAGGTGCTTGGGAAGCCCGTTTCCATTTCCAAGGGACATGGAGTGTTACCCATGCACGGAACGCAGTGACCAACACCCACTATCGACTTCCCACCAGATCGCGGGGCAGCTTTTATTAGTGTATCGACTACGAGCTAGACAGGCATGGTAAGAGCCGATAACGATAAGGAAGCAGCCACTTAGGTTTAGCTCATAGCGGGGACTTTTTTTCAAAGTGGTTCCTAACCGTGGCGGCTCTGTTTGCCTTGGCGCGCCAGGGCCGTTTTTTTCATCATCAATCCCGAAAAGCTCATCCAACAAATTTCTGGCCTGGTGCTAAGACAGGCGTTCGAGACTCAACCTCCATTCACTGATCTATAGTGAAGCTGCTGCTGCGACAATGACCAGTCTCAAGCGGCCCACGGCCAGTGATAATGGCAATTTGAACCTGTCGAGCAAAGTCTACGTCAGATCAACCAAGAGTGGCAAGGTCCAAAAGATCGTTCGTGAGGTCTATCTCAGACAAGATATCCCCTGCTCATCGCAGGTGTGCTCAAAATGCCGAGCCCCGGCTAACGCGGCCGGCCAAGGTAAGTTCAGAAATACACAAGTGCTAAGATGAGGTCTAACACATGTATAGTGAGCCCTCCCGTGCTTTCGGATAAGCCAGCAGGAACCAAGGCTTTCCCTAATGGCCACTATTTGGTGCCGGACACAAATGCACTGCTCAATGCCATGGATCTGTTCGAGCAGAGCTCTGCGTTTTACGATGTGATTGTGCTCCAGACTGTGCTAGAAGAGCTCAGGAATCGATCACTACCGCTGTACAACCGGCTCATCAGTCTGACCAAGAGCGAGGACAAGCGCTTCTACGTTTTCTTCAACGAGTTCAGGCTAGAAACATACGTGGCCAGGGAGCAAGATGAAAGCGTCAACGACAGAAATGATCGGGCTGTGCGGAAAGCCGTGGAGTGGTACAACACCCATTTATCACACATCAAGAGCAAACGTGTTCCCACTGTGGTCATGCTCACGGACGACAGAGGCAACATCGAAAAGGCAAAGAAGGAGAATGTGCCTGCGACTACTTTGCGTAACTACGTCAGTGGACTGGAGGATGGCGAGAGGCTGCTGGACATGATCGCAGAGTCGCAGGAGAGAGGCGCTGCCCGCGACAAGAAGGCTGCCGACTTCCTCTACGCCGAGTACTTCAGCATGTCCAAAATGATGACTGGCGTTAAGAACGGCATGCTACATCAAGGAATTTTCAACGTATCACCTTACAACTATCTAGAGGGATCGATCAGGGTACCGGCTTTCCCAAAGGCCCTCCTCATCCTAGGCAGAGAGAACATCAACCGAGCCGTCGATGGCGATGTCGTTGTAGTCGAAGTTTTGCCAAAAGAACAGTGGAAGGAACCCTCGACAAAAATCATCGAGGAAGAAGCCGTCACCAAGAACGAAAACGCCGATGGCGATGAGGGCGAGGACCTAGTCACGGAGAAGGAGAGAAAGGCGCTCCAAGAGGAGGTGAAGAAGACACATTTGGCGAGCACCGAGGGACGGGCCCAGCCCACTGCCAAGGTTGTTGGTATCATAAAACGAAATTGGAGGCAATACGTTGGCCACATTGACCAAACCTCTGTCAGCTCATCTGCAAAGCAAGGACGAAAGCAAGAAACGGTCTTCTTGATCCCCATGGACAAGAAGATCCCAAAGATCAAGATACGTACAAGGCAAGTTGGCGAACTCTTAGGGAAGCGCGTCCTGGTCACCATTGACTCTTGGGATCGCGAATCTCGGCATCCCGTCGGCCATTTTGTCCGCTCCTTGGGCGAGCTTGAGACCAAGGCGGCCGAGACAGAGGCCTTGTTGCTCGAATACGATGTCCAATACCGTCCGTTCCCAAAGACGGTCTTGGACTGCTTACCAAAAGAGGGTCATGACTGGCGCGTGCCGACAAGTACCGACGATCCTGGTTGGAGAGGCCGCGAGGATCTCCGCGGTTTGCTCATCTGCAGTATCGATCCTATTGGCTGTCAAGACATTGATGACGCCTTACACGCTCGAGCCTTGCCGAACGGAAACTTCGAGGTTGGTGTTCACATTGCAGACGTCTCACATTTTGTCAAACCAAGCAATGCTATGGATCACGAGGCTAGTATTCGTGGCACCACTGTCTACTTGGTCGATAAGCGTATCGATATGTTGCCAATGTTGCTTGGAACGGACCTGTGTTCTTTGAAGCCATATGTTGAGCGCTTCGCCTTCTCGGTTCTGTGGGAGCTTAACCCGTCAGCGGATATCGTGAATGTTCGCTTTACCAAGTCAGTCATCAAGTCTCGCGAGGCATTCAGCTACGAGCAGGCACAGCTACGTATCGACGATGCTTCGCAGCAGGATGACTTGACAAACAGCATGCGCGCCCTCCTCATGCTCTCGAAAAAGCTGAAGCAAAAGCGCATGGATGCAGGAGCGCTGAGCTTGTCGTCTCCTGAGGTCAAGGTGCAGATGGAGTCGGAGACGTCGGACCCAATCGACGTCAAGACAAAGGAGCTCCTCGACACAAACTCACTTGTTGAAGAATTCATGTTGCTCGCCAACATCAGTGTAGCAGGCAAGATCTACGATGCCTTCCCTCAGACGGCCATTTTGCGACGCCATGCAGCACCGCCCAAGACAAATTTTGATGAGCTGGCCAACCAACTCAAGGTCAAGCGTAATCTCGAGCTACGCGTTGATTCGTCTCGGGCACTAGCCGACTCACTGGATGGATGTACTGACACCAACGAACCATTTTTCAACAACCTCATTCGTATCATGGCGACCCGCTGCATGATGAGTGCTGAATATTTCTGCGCCGGAACACAGGCCTACCCAGAGTTCCGCCACTATGGTCTCGCTTCAGAAATCTACACTCACTTCACATCGCCCATCCGTCGCTATGCCGATCTGGTAGCTCATCGTCAACTGGCTGCTGCCATTGACTATGAGCCCATGCACCCCGCCGTGCGATCCCGTGGCAAACTCGAGGCTGTGTGCAAAAACATCAATGTGCGTCATCGCAACGCGCAGCTCGCCGGCCGCGCTTCTATTGCCTACTATGTTGGGCAGGCACTCAAGGGCAGGGTGGCCGAGGAGGAAGGATTCGTCATGAAGATCTTTAGCAACGGATTCGTCGTCCTTGTACCAAAGTTTGGTATCGAGAGTCTGATTCGCTTGAGAGACTTGGCAGAACCGGAACCAGATAGTGTCTATGATGCCGAGACCTATACACTGAAGTTGACTGGCAGCCGAGACTTGACGGTCGACTTATTCCAAAAGGTCATTGTCAGAATCAGTGATGCAAAGGACGAGGCTACTGGAAAGCGTGGCGCCAAGATGGAGTTGGTGAGAACTGTTTGAAGGGACAGCATGCACCGACTTGTACAAACATATTGGCCACAGGTGGGTCGGAAATGACATGAATGATAGATAGATGGACTGTCGAGATCATAGACAGCAATAAAGACACTTCGAAATCCGAGTACCCAGAAGGCTTGTGACTACCAGCTTCCATTCTGTAGTATCTGGATTGTACCAATCTCGGTGAGTTGCGTGTATCTAGTTTTGTCATTACACGGCAATAGGCTTGAAAAAATGTTCAGCACATCTAAACAAATGCCAATGTGGAAACACCTTAAATTGTCTCTCCTAAGTTGTATGCATCGTATGCCAGCCTCATCAATGATGAATAGTGCTCTTCTGATAGCTTTATATCACTGCTGGGTAACGTATGTCAATCAGCTGCTGTTGCTGCCCAATTGCCATATTTTTCTCAGAGATAATCATGCGCTTGCTTCCCTAAGTATGGCCCTTTCCCGCCATATCGATGGCTCGTAGTCTCGATCTTGCAATCGTTGTCCCGAATCGCTCATGGCATGCGGCGGACGTGCGAACCTACGTTATCGCCAAAATGCACCATGCCTGAAGACTAAAGTGATAGCAATGCAGATTTCACTCTTTGTGTGTTGGACTTGAACACGTCCCCAACAGGACGCTCAGGATCCTCGGAAAACTCCGTCACTCGCTTGAACATGGATGCGTCCTTACGAGTCGCTGTCCTCGCCGTTATCCAGGGCCTCATCCTCGCCATTCTGCTCCTCGCGCTCTTCGAGGGCATCCTGCATCTCATCATCATCCTGTGCGCCCTCTTCCTCCTCATCGTCCTCTTCCTCGTCCACATCATCGCCGGGCTCGTCCTCGTCATCCTCGTCAACGTGGTCCGACTCGGACTCGGCATCCTGGTACTCCTGCGTAGTATCCGCGTCGGCACCGGCCATGGCGCTGTCGTCGGCGCACCCCGGCTGGCCGCCGCCGCCGCCCGTGGCCGTGGTGGCAGCAGCTGCCGACATGCGCTGCTTCTTGATGGACCGCGACGTATCGATGCCCGCGGCGGCGGCCGGGTCCTCGATAAAGGTTGTCCCTGGCGGGCCGGTGGCCTCGGGAACGCGAGGCTCGCGCAAAGGACCATTTGTCTCGACATAGGGTACCCCCTTCTTGGCAGCCGCGACTTTGCGCCGGTAGGTGTTTCGTTTCGAGGACTGGATCTCGTTGAATTCTATAAGGCGATTCAAGTCTCTGCGTCAGCATCAAGACCAGCAACTGGGCATTGAATTGGGAGGGCAGAGTAGAGAGGTGCATACTTTTGAACTCCTGCTGTACCAATTCCTTGAACTCGGGGTATTCAATATCATCGAGGGCATCAAAGACGTCGGGCGGCATTATAGTCTTTTTATTCGAGTTTTGCGTTCGCTCATTTGCGCTGTTCCGACGTGCAACAGATGGTAATTAGCAATTACATCTTTCTCGCGTCTCTGATCTCTGAATGTACTTACGCATTTGCGAGGTGATTTATGAATACCGTCGCCGCCTTGGTCATGGCCAGTATGGCATTAGCCTGGATTTGAGTGTTTGGCGGCAGGACGCCTTTGGCCAGCCTCGTGATGATAGACTTGGGTAGATTCAGGTCCTATAAGTGATCATATTCCCCGTGTCAGCACGCCCAGCTCTGCACGGTAACGAATCGCTCCCAAAAGGGAAGAGCCGCTGCCGAATACACACAAGCACACACCTCGATCGCCGTTGCGTCCTTGTCCTTCTTGTCGCTATGCGGTGCCGCCTCGCTGGCGCGTTCCATTTCGATATCTGGGGTTTCTGCTACCGCCGTCTTGGCTGTCGTCGATGCTGGCGGGACAGTTGTTGAGTCTGCTGCGGTTGCGGAAATCGGCGAGGGCTCGGCTGTAGGCGTGGCATCGCCTTCTACGAGCGCGAATCTAGCCATTGAGACGTCACTGCGGCGCGATGTATCGATTTTACGCGGCGGCATGGTTTTGGACCGGGGCAGTGAATTCAGTCGCGAGGGTGCAGGTACAAGTCGGACTGGGGATGCGTGGAGCGAAGCACCAGATGGGGCAATGAAGTTGTAATGAGGCCAATCACGATTCAGAGGATCAAGCAGGGGTTCCCAGTGTAAGCCGATGAAAAAAGGTCGTTGCTCCGCGAGATGGCTACAATTTCCTACGGCAAGTCAAAGGAATATGTGATGGGCTTTGGGTCGTTGTTGGATTATTTTCTTGGGTACGGCTCGAGCCAGTAGCCTATCAGAGGCAACTGTATGGGTTTGAGTGGTACCCAGATGCCCCGCCGACGCGCCCACGGTCCCTGTAAACGCGTAAATTAGGTGCACGTAGAAGGAAGGATGCACTCGAACACGATACAAAAAAGGAAATCCTCAACCTTGCTCAAGTAGTCAAAAAGGAGCTTTCCGAATTGTTGCACTAGCCGCGAATCGAACGCGGGGCCCATCGATGGCAACGATGGATTTTACCACTAAACCACTAGTGCTTGGATGGACAAAATGTTTCTTATTATCTAATATAGTGCTGTAATCATCTGCACTTTTGCGATAATCTATACTCGCTTCTGGACAGTACTTGGTGACACTTGCTGCTAATAAATGTATGCAGCGTTTCCGTTCTGTTATCCCACAGGTTCGCTCGAAAGAGATACGGAAACTGGTTTTTTTTTTCACTAAAGCATTATGTTCAGGTTTAGAAACTAGATAGGAAGGAGATGAAAGGCCTTGCAGCAGTCCCAATCACCTTATAATTTAATAGCAAAGATCGACCACTCTTGAAATCCAAAAATGGCTTTGCTAAATCGAAATACATATATTCAACACTTCGCTTCCTAATTCACTGTATTTTCTACTTTCCGCTTACTTTTCTACATCCGCCCTGCCTTTTCAATAAAATCTCTTCATTATGATCCTTAATTAGAAAACATCCACAAACAAGGCTTTAGAGGCTGTCGTCTGCAGGTTCACAGGCTCTGATATCGTGATCAGGCCCAGCCAATTATATAAGCCCAGGGTCGACAAAGGTTAAAAGATCCAACAACCGACAGCTTTCCTAAGCAATTAGTTGTGATGCTTTGCTCCTTGAGAAGAAAATACACACGTCATACTCACTGCCGGTCTTATGACACAGTTATGTTGCTCGCGGCATGCAATAGCTCAATGTAATTTAGGATACTATATCAAGTACAAGTGGGATTGTGCATGCTGGAAAGCTCAGGAAGGCCCACTCTTAGTTAGGTCTTTTCCCGTAATGTCTTCGAATGAGGCTATATGTACAATCCTATCAATAGTCTTAACAATCAAGGGCTGCACGATGCGCGCCACAAATTGAGATCGAGGTGTGAGCGATCGTCAAAGGGTCGTTCTGGTCGAACAGCCAGTCGTGCACCAAAGAAGCACATCGAGCTCGGGAACTTGGCGTCGCAGCAGCTGTAGCTAGTTGGAGACCTCACGATATCTAGGCAAACATAAAAGGCGAGCCTGTCGTACTTTGTCCGATGTACTGGCCAAGCTTAAAAGTCCCTTGACGCCGGCCAAGCCCATATAGAAATCAGAGTCTGTAATGAATCTAAGAGCTGGCTTCAATACACGAATTGAAATGTGCCCGTCTTGTGCCCGCCTGAACCACGATTATAATGGTCTTCCTGAGGGCTATTCCGCACTGGCGTATCTTTGTACGGAAGTCGTTGACTCAGGCTGAGCTGGCAAAATCTGTGATGATCAATCCACATGATAACGCTCGCTCAGCTGACAGTCTTTGCGTCCTCACTGGCGGAGCATATGGCTCTTACCCGTTAGGGCCAGGGATGATGCTCAAACAAGGACGAGAATCACGGCTTTTACTAAGGGTTCTGGCAAGCAAACGGTACTCAGGGACATTTGGGTTGGTGGACGATGTTTTGAGCGACATCCGTATCGCCTTTGCGAAAACTATTCGCAGCGGCAGGAGACGTCGGCGTAACCAAAACTCTTCCCAGCAGCGGCCCCGGCGCAAGCCATGGTGGCCTAATTCGAAACCTAGCACATTAGGAATTCCTACATTCTATTGAAGTGCTGTATACCTGCATGATCCTACACTGCTGCTCCCACTAGATAGCATCCGACATCCTGTGGATCTCGCGCTTCAGTTGTTCCTCGATTCTGCTGTTGGAAGTGAACCCGAATTTCTCCAGAGCTTTCCCCCCAAGCAGCGTGTTGATCGCGGTTGGTTGCTGAAGATTTCAGCGATTGGTTGCACCACGCATGCCTCATCCCTCGATGTTGACATGTACTTATCGAAATGAGCGTCCATATGAGCACTAGGCTGCATTCACTGCTCTGGTCAATACGATCATTGATCTTTCACTGGCACACAAGCGCAACTCCTGGCATTTCGAGCCTCTGGGTCGAGTCGAAGGTTTCCGCAGAATCTGTGTATCTGTGCCGCTGTGCAGAAATGTTCTCAATTCCTGATCGCCTGGGTTACGCATGTTTGTGTGCAGGATAGACTCGAAAATTCAGACTGACTGATGCATATGGCTAACCAGAAACTACGCAGTCAGCTTTGAGCCGACCGGGAAATCTTGAGGTCTACTATCTATTCGCCGCGTATGAGTGACTAGCAGTAATACGGAATCCGACGTGGGCGGTATAAATGCTTCGGGCATGCGAGTCGTCTGCCAAGCATAATTACTCCCTTGTAGCTGAACTGGAGACCTAGTGCAGTGGAAGTAAAGTAGGCTCGGATTCGTATTGCTCTTCACATCGATCCAATCAGGCTTCAAGAGTCCAAACCTAGATGGAGACTGGGATTGGCGGCGCAGCCTTGCTGGACCAGAGTAGCGCTACGTCGACAATGTAAGCCTCAATATGTTGACTCGATCAATCTTACAGTTTGTTCTCCTCGAATGACGTGATACATTGCGTCGAATTCTCGTGGGCCCGCTGGTATCGACTTAGGAGTAGCTCAAGATGTCGCCAACGAAAGCATGATTGCAGATGTGGCCAATCCAGAAAATTCCATCGTCCTCAACAACAACTGGTCGATCCCCATTCCATCATATCAAGGAAATTATGGAGTTCACTACGCTGTTCAGGCTGTTCGAGCCACTTCTGCACTACAAACCCAGACTCTCGCTCTCTATCCTGACCATCCATCTATGGTTGGTTCTGGTTTGGATTCAAGCACCTCATTACTTCTCACCTTCTCAGGGAAGCCTCCAGTCCTGGAGACTGGGTTCTGGAACATATGTGCCTACAACGCAGAGTTGGATCTCATAGCCAACCCTCTGGATAGATATGGCATCGGGAGCCGAGTTTTCAACATGACGTATGCCAATGGTGAGAACGTGTATGGACCGAACGCAAGTGCTGGAGACGGAGTATTCCAGATTCTAGTTCAGGACAAGGCATATCCTCCCCCGACCAACTGGACTGGAAACTGGCTGCCAGTTGAGGATGGATTCTCGCTATCATGTAAGTTACAAGCACCACTTACCACGAAATAGTCATTAATTTGTCACAGTCCGCATTTACGGTCCCTCTGAAGTCCTCAAAGATGGGTCCTACGTTTGGCCAAATGTCAAGAGAATCCCAATCCTCAGCGTGTAGTTCACGTGATGACCCCAAGAGACCAAAGAGGCTTCGCTATTAGAAGCCCCACTGTTTGTGGTCATCGAGAGGACAGGGTGCTTAGACTCTTCCCCGGTTATATACGAGCTTTTATGTATAGTGCTAGTAAGCTGATGGGACCCCTTATCCTATACTGCAATCGGCCAATTATATCTCCATCACAATTCGCTTTGGTCTTGTCGAGTTGAAATTCGGAACAGAAATCATGGCGAGCAAGCTGCATGAAAAAACGAACCAATATGGCAAAAGATTGTGCCGCGTATGATAGAATATCAAGCATGTCGCCTTTGACTCAATAATTTATTATTTCAGAATTTCTTCTTTTAATCATTATTATCGCCTCAAATGATGCCTTGATATTAGATTCTCAACTAATTCGATATGAATGGCAAGTAAGGGAAGTGGTGCTCAATGTTATCCGCCTCTGATCAGGTGCAGGCTTATTAGGTGGGGGCGTTTTGGGACAAACTCCGGGAGCTCACATTACTAGTCAACACCACTTACACGGAGAGGATTCTGCGGTGTGACTATTTCGAAGACCCCTGACCTGGTATGGCATGAAATGATGGTGCTGCTGCGGTCCCGTCTATACCGGTGGGGGTAATTGAACGTAAATTAATGGCTTGGCAACACAGCCCTCGGATTCGGATTCTGGTTTTGTTCGAGTCATGCCCATCTTCCATACTTGGACATCGCGACCCGACTTACGATATCCGTGGCTGTGCCAGGAATTAATGAAAAGGCCTCGCATTCCCACGTCGGGTTCGCTTTCATTTTCAAAAACCAAATCAATAAACGGCGCATCAGCACAACGGCAGGGACAACATTTGCTCCAATAATGGCTCGTATCGGCCACAAGAAATCTCGCAATGGCTGCATGCAATGCAAAAAACGTCATGTTAAGGTACCTAGTTATCCCGAAAGCCTGCGTGGCGACAATTCTCCGTCCATGCTCCTTCTAACACCATGGTTTGGGCAGTGCGACGAACAAGTCCCCTGCGGAGCCTGCAAACGACATCTTGTTACCTGCAGTCTTGGGGCATTACCCTCCCCGGATTCAGTCGCACCATCAATAGAGCAAAGAAGCAAAACTACTGGCGAGCAGGTCGTTAGTATCGGTCTGTCTAACGCGCCACAGCTTGCAACCGCTTATTTGTCTTGTTCGCAAATCTCGTCCCAGCTTGATGCAACGTTTCACAATAAAATATCTCGTCCATATCCTGATCTCAATATGCTGGGGAGCTGGATCTCGCATACACAACTCATACACCACTATACTAACACGGCATACCGAACCTTGTCCTTTTCCAGCGAGGTCGTCGAAACTTTGCAATCCGAAGTACCTCAGGAAGCCTTCTTAAATCCCTTTCTTCTACACGAAATTTTAGCCTTCTCGGGATTTCACATGGCATTTTTACAGACAGAAAGACGTTACGAGTATCTTTTACAGGCGTCTTATCATCAGAGCCTTGCTATTCGGGGGACCAGGGATGCACTAAAGGCAATGGATGCTGATAACTGTCATTCACTTTACGCAACGTCTATCTTCCTGATCATTAATGCGTTTGCGGCCTTTCCCATCTGCGGAAGGTCCCTTGGATGCACTGCCCCCATTCAGATGATGGTTGAGATTTTCACCCTGGTGAGTGGAACGGGTATAATTATAAGATCATGGGAGAAGGCTATTAGGAATGGCCCATTGAAGGGTTTATTTATGCAATGCGCGCATCACGAGTCCGCTTTGGCCCATCTGAGATTACTTCTGCGGCAGTTGCCTAAACTTAAGGACGGGATTTTAAATGCAACAAGCCTGTCAGTAGAGGAGGCGACGACTATCGGGTCATCGATCGATGCACTCGAAGTCTGTGTGGTAACCGCTAGTAGGAGCCGAATGCTTGCTGCGCCAGCTGAAGTCAGAGCCATATTCATTTGGCCGATGCTCATATCGCCTGAATACGTGGACATGCTCCGACAGCGTAGGCCTCCGGCTCTCGCAGTTCTTGCACACTACGCGGTATTGATTTCAATGGCCGAAGAAAGATGTTGGTTCTTGCAGACCTGGGGTCAAGCACTGCTTCACGAGCTAACGAATGTGCTCGGAAAACATGTTGATGGACAGATGATTATCTGGCCGAGACAATTTATAGCTAGCCTTACAGCCAGCAGATTTGGGCAAGAGACATCCTGATCAATATCGTTTATTGTATCCGCATCCGAAAAATTAGAGTCTGTAATGAATCCAAGAGCTGACTTCGATACACGACTTGAAATGTGCCGGCCGTGTGCCCGCCTAAACAACGATTATGTCGCCGAGACCTTCTGTCAGAAATTTAGCAAGTTAGAATAGCCTTCTCATATTTGCGACTGTTCATATCATACGAACCAAACGGGATGCGACTGTGCACTGACGTTCCTAATCTCACTCAGCGTCATGTCACGACGCGAAGATTTCTGCTCAGCCCTGATCGGATAAACTCCTGACTTTGAATCTGAGCGTTTACCAATCAAAAGATCCAGGCATTCTATCGGTAATTTTCCCATCTCTTGGTGTCGTTGTGGCTGTGGAGGACTCTGAAGTTAAGGCAGTCTCTGCGTTGCCAAGACATGCCCGGTACTCGGCGCATTCCTTCCAGACCTTCAATTCTTCGCGATATAAATCCATGATGCATGGATTGCAACTGCTTCCGCAACATTCACCGGCTGGCGGTTTTACGGGCTTTTCGTCGCCCATCGCCGCCTGTAACAGTGCTTTTTCGCGGACTGGGGCAAGTCGCGATTTTAGAAGCCGGGCCAAAGTTGGAGAATGCTGTCTGGCCTCCGCGGCGGTGTTACTCCCGGCCATAGCACCGGCACTTTAGTCGTTGTGATTACTTTGCGCAGCTTTTCGAATTTGCAATAAATGTATACATTGAACGCGTGTGATAAATTGTGTTTTCCTATCCCGCTCCCTATTCATATTAGCGGCCGCCAAAAATGGCTCATGGTCGCTAGCGCTTCAGCAATACGTTTTCGGGTATTATAGGGATTATTTCAGTAAACCCCCCCGGTCGCCTCTTCTGAACTTGTAGCTTACCGAGTCTCTTCTTTAGTAGCGGTGGCTCGGATCTGGCAATGAAATACACTAGTAAAGCTCTGAATAATTGAAGTTATCGAACCACTTGGCTAACAAATATGTATTGTAAGCTCTGCACGATCTCTGCGCCAATAACCAAAAAGGTCGCACAGTATAGCGACCTCGACTCCGCCTGGCGTTCAGGGAACTACTTTGAGCACAAGATAGTTCCTCGGCCCCACTTTCCCCTGGCAGAAGTCTTGACATGTTCACGAAACGGATATTGGATAGCATGGTCGGCAACAGCAGCTCCAAGTACCTAGAGCGAGTATCCATTTCATCAGCCAATTCCCTGGATACTGTAGTGTACTCCCTACGACTATTGTGGACGAAACTTGGAGCAGCAATATGATCTCTTTGACACCGGTGGCTCATAGACTAGTGCCGCGTTTTTATTGGTGCTTTGTTCTTAGATTATTTGCTAATACATCTACATGATTGACGCCGCTTAAGCGGCATTCTCTTTTTCAAAGGCAATATTGCGCACCGCTAACAGCGTTAAAAATACCAAGTTCGATAAAGGTCTCGTAATTCCAATAATCCTCTTGTGTGCCTTGACCAACAACGGCCGCGGTACCCGAGAATTTCGCCGTCCAGTAAGCACTGCCGTGGTCGTATTTGGCAAACGCATATAAACCAGTGTTCAAGTTCTTGGCGCGGTTGACAAACAAGTTGTTGCTGGCGGTTTGAATTGACCATTCGCCAATCCAGACTGGGAATTTCCCATCACCGGCAGAAGCCTTAGCATCAGAACATATGTCGGTTGATACCGTATCTGAGTCAGTCGGTCTGCCAGCAAAGTAGTAGTTATGGACATCGAATACGAGATTTTCCGAAGCCGTGAAATCCGGTGACCAGTATGGTTCTCCTTTGAAGCTACCTTGAAACATTGTCGGTATGTTTTCATTTACTGCTGTGACTCTCGATAACACGCCCTGGATATACTGTAGGACCCAAGCAGCGCCCTCCTCGGACAAGGCAGCGGGAGTACCCAATGCAGTAATGTCGGGGTTGTCTACAGGTTCGTTTATAGGCTCGAGGGTGAAAGATTGTGGGAAGCCAGAGTTCTGGATAAATGATATAGCGGCATCCACAGCTTGAAAAGAGTAGTCCAGAGCTGTGGCGTTATTGAACCACCCATAGTGACCGTCGGCTTCACCAAACGTCATGCCATTGACACCTCCTGGCAGAGAATATATATCAACCACTATATGCATACTGTATTTGTTGATTGCGTACGTGGCGATATTTTTCAGGAAAGCCTGTTGGTTGCCAGAGTAAAGCTGAGAACCAGGAACATCGACCCAGGCTGCGTACGTAGTGGGAATACGCAGAATAGTCAAACCCGCGCAGGCGAGCTCATCGATATCAGAAGTCGTGATAAAGGTGGCATAGCGTCTTTCGAGAACTGGACCACATTGACTTCCAAGATGAGCACACATGTCCCATTCGTCAGTGGTATTGCCTCCGTATTGACTCCCAAGGCTGTAAAGTTGCGCCAATTTACGTAGCTACTTGTAGGAACAGACACGACGGAAGAAAGATAGCAAACAAGTACAGCTAGGGCTGAGAAAAACATGGTGTCAGAGTTGGTATTCGAATGTAGAGTGGAAAGTGTCTGTTTGCCAGATATTGATCACAAGTGTTAGAGCATTGCCCTTTTATAGTATTTTCGACGATCTCCAGCATGTACACTACTATTATTGCGGCAACGAAGTGGAGTTGCAAATACTGGTGATCGTAATATTTTTCCCCGGCAGCACCTTCGCCGAGTGATTGTATTCCGTCACTTGTGCAACACTCAACATCCGGAACCCCACGGGGAAATGCAGCAAGGGTTAAGCAGCGTCGACATCAAGTACACCAACCCACCTTTCCGTTGCTAATATTATACTGCCTCACATACAAAGTAAAATGTTCGCTACTCCACATTCCGATCGGCATATTTTGCTTGCTTGAACTTTAGCGTAATGATTCGAATGAGTCTCGATCACTCAAGCAAGAAGTTGGGCGAGATTCGCAAAAGTCCAGAGCTCATTAAGCTTTCCCACGAATTACATGCGAGATTCGCAATAATGCACTAATCTAGGTTAGTGAGTGGGCGGCTTGAACGTCTTAGCGAGCCGACACGCCTAAGGACTCTTCATCATGCCTCCCGTTCGATAAGAAAGAAGTATGCTTCTCATTGTACCTACGAAACAGATGATAGGCAAATCTAAATGGGCTACTATACTTCTAAGCTAGTTCTAGATTTATTACGAGATAGTCAGCGATGCGCCACAACGGGAAGGGCTTATTGAGTCTGTTTGTTCAGACATTCTTTTCGTAGATGTAGAACGTCTTTGATTTTATTCTTTATTTTAGAGACAGACTGGTCGTATCAGTCAACCTTACTGTAATCGATTTCACGCGACTCTAATTGCATCATAAATGCAAAAGCTATATAAAGCGATTATGATTGATCAATGTCCCTTTAGGACGAAACTTAAAGCAGCAATAAGATCTCTTGGGCACGGGCAGTATCTATTCGCTGTACCAAAAATGCTCAAGGTGTTTGCTGTCCTTTCAATGTCTCCTTCTCCTTTTGGAGCCGAACAGCGTAGTCTTCTGCCCATATAGCTGAAGGAAATTTTTAATGCCACCGCAGTGAGGCATTCGACGGGACCAATTGCCTTGAGATGCAAAGTGCAGTGGCGCAAATAGCATGTGCACAATCGAGCCCAACCTCTTGTTCCCAGTCCGGATTGCAGTGAAAGTACTGAAAACGCCACAGCTGCAAACAACCCCTCACCCTTAGCCAATGATAGAACGACACTAAAGCGAGAATCTCTATGGCAGGAGTAAGCAGAAGGAAGACTTTGTCGATTTAATCTTGTCCTTGAACTTTTCCCGTATTTGCGCAAATGTTACCATGTCCAATGAACCCTCGATCAATACAGGCGCCAGCGTGCAGCTGTGTACGAACTGCGAGAAGATAGCGCTGAAGGACGACTGCCCCGCTTTCCAAGTAGTCCATGATGAGCATGGCAAACCACATCATGTGTTCACAGCGCCCGATACGTGGATGGAGACTGATTTTCAAGGCGAAGATAAATTTCCAGACCTCCCCGGGTTGCTTGAGTCTTCGCTTCAGGGCTGCACGTTCTGCGCGTTTTTCAAAGAGATTCTGAGTTCCGATCAAGCCCTCGCAGTATTCAACCGTGATATTCACCCAGCACCACTCGATTCCCCGATCCCGATACGATATCAGGTTTCGTTTGCCTGGAACTGCACCAACACCAATGAAGACCAATATCTCGTGCTACAGGCTTCTTTCCCCTCTGAGAATGTTAACCTCGATTTGTTTTGTACTATTCAAGCCTTAGATGGTACGAAATTTAAGCTGTTTGTTATGAAAGATCCCCTTGCAAATTTACTAACCTTTCGCAGAGTGCAGGGAATTGGCGAGCTGGCTAAGCTTAAGTGCACCAACACATGATTCATACGCAAATCAAGAGACTGTTGAATGGATGAGATCGAGGCTAGATCACTGCTGCGAGAATCATAGTTGTGGTGCAGATCTATTGGAGCGCGAATATTTGCCAGATAGATTGCTCGACGTTCAGAAGGATATCCCCAAACTCGTACTTCGTGACGATATAACTGTATCCTGCCAGAAAACACCCAACTATCTAGCTCTGAGCTACTGTTGGGGAACGAACGAAGATGCATCTCATCAACCCAAACTCACAAAAGATACACTCCAGCAGTTTCAGACTGGGATAGACGAGCAGCATCTTTCTGTTGTTCATCGAGACGCAGTATTTGTTGCAAAAGCTTTGTCTATCCCTTACCTTTGGATCGATTCGCTTTGCATTTTGCAGGACGACGATGACCGCATCGACTGGCAACGCCAATGCGAGCAGATGGATAAGATTTATGGTTGTGCACATGTCACACTGCTTGCAGCCGCTTCAGGCTCTTGTCGCCAGAGCTTCCTTCGACGATCACATGGCGTGCAAACTATCATACCATTTCGATCTGCTATACAATCAACTCAAAACGGCTTACTTCATATTGAGTTGAGAAAGGTGACCACAGTGCCCACAGATAACGGAAAAATCCAAACCTTGTTTGATGACATATTCTTTTCTCGCCTGTCAAGGAGGGGATGGGCTTACCAAGAGAGAATTCTGTCCCGACGCAAGATTCTCTTTGGAGAGTGGAATTTCCACTACATGTGCCCAACTGCTAATCAATCACTGAAAGGATCAGAAAGAATGGGGCCTTATGAGAGATCCCCAGGGCAAATCAAACAACAACTGTCAAAAGGGTATAATTACGGGGAATGGGTCGAGATCTTTGAACTGGCATCTATGTTCGGCGGTCAATCATTCACATATCCTGAAGACATCTTACCAGCTCTATCTGGTCTAGCTCGACTAGTTCAAAATGATGCACACGATGTGTACCTCGCCGGACATTGGGCCCAGGATTTATTTCGAAGCTTAGCCTGGAGACGACCTCTCTTAACACATACACCAAAAGAAGTACATTTTCGGAGGACGTTCGGGCCTGGGCCCTATACAGTACCATCATGGAGCATTCTGTATAAAGTGTTTGGCGATCTAGACAACCCGTACCAAACAGGCCCTAGTGATGTAAAATCCGAAATGGAATCTTGTGTTGGACAAGTCGCCTTAGTTGGAACAGATCCATTTGGTGCCATCAAGAATGCACATCTCGAAATTCGAAGTCGCTGTTTCCAAAACCGGATCGATCAGTCAATTGCCATCAAGCAAATTTTGTATGCCACGTGGAAAAATAGATGGAGCGTGGTCATTGATTGGGACAGTCGCCGGTTCTATTGTGGCATATGCCTTGATTATCATCTACGAGTAGCAGACATCAACCAAAATCCGAAAATGTGGCGATGGGTACTTTTGGGGAGTGTCCAAATACAGACGATATTGAACACTCAGACTACCAGCACAGACAACGACGGGGAGCCGGAAAGGTATCCATATGGCCTGTTGTTACTTCAAGTCCCTGACCGACGAGAGTGGTACCGTGCTGGCGTTTTCGAACCAAATGTCGCAGGTTTCAAGAAGGAACTCGAGCTAGCAGGTGATCCTGAGTTGGAGCTTATGACACTTGGCGTCTTCAAAGAGATGTCTGAGATTGAGACTATCACTGTAATATAGGATTGCTGCTACGAATGCTGGAATCATTGACTCAAGTCGTATGACTAATACACAAAACTCTTGTTTTCATATGTTGTTTAACTCACGAATCATCGGCCTGATCAACATCCATTTTTATAATGAAGTTGCTTGCGGGTTCAGTTGCAGCAGCGCCTAGCTAGTGGGTTAATTAGGAAGCTAGGTCAGGTTACCCGTGTCCAGATAGGGAGCTTCCCTGCCCTAAAGCCCGGCCGCTAGGGTATTCGCTATGCACTACTATCATGTACCTCCTAGGTCTGGACTAACTCTAGAGCAGCGATAGGGTGGTTTCTACTATACTCCTACATACCAACTCCCTGATTAGTGCATGTGCTGCGGGAGAATTCTAGGACTTGTTTTTCGAAAACACTGCGGGCGACTCAGGACTAGCAAAGAAGATATACATCTTTTCTCAACGGCACTGCATTAGTTTGAGATGATATACGCACTCTAACTTTGGCCAAGACCTGCTGAAATCTACGTGCGGTCGCTTTTGAGAAAGCTTTAGGCGGAAACAAACACTCTCAGCTCGCGATTAGGGCTGAAGTCATTGATCGTGCACAAAGAAAGAAACCCGAGCCGTGCAAAGATTGGGTCGACCAAGGTAGGAATTTACCCTTGAGCAAATAATCGAGCGGGTTTAATTAAACTCAATTGAATACTGGCTGGCTGGCTGGCTAGAATCAGCAACTCCGCGGAGGCCAAGATACACCAAGTTATTGTACCATCATGCGTCCATAAGTTTTACGGCCACGAGGCTCTGGCCATCGGGAATATACCAACCAAAAATGTAGACTGCGCCTGGAAGAGGGCCGCGTCGGTGAGTGCGGCTCAGCGATGTTCCTTCATTTCCATATACCGCTCTTGGCAGCGGGTTCCCGAAGCATGACGCCTTCTCCCCGTAATTACAGGCAATGATATCAAGGGCGACTTCTACATGCACATCTGGTGTCGTGAAGAAGAAAATGAGTATGGTAGAAGCGTGTATGAATAAGGATCTGGAAAGCTTGTAGAACAAGGTATGAACTTGGTAATTTGCAATAAAATGAATAGGCGTGATGATCGACTATGCTATGGATTTGTATTCTAAGAAAGAAAAAAAGAGAACGTGCTTCACTAATACCAGTCTTTAAGCCGTCATCCAGTCTGCCGTCATGTTTCTTGGCGTGAAATGGAAGGTTTTACACAATTGGTATCTTTAGTGAGTCTCGAGCCGTTGGTGGCTGAAGTGGCCATATACATTTGCCTTAATAAACCCAAACATGGGAATTGAACGTCAGATGATCACTTCCAAGAATGAAGAGTAAGAGATCTCACGTAACCGTGATGAGATTATAATCTTGTCTTGAAAATAATGTCTCGTGACGGAAGCGCAGCATCCTTAATATCAAAATCCCGATATTGGTCGCGTGAGGCTTACGCTGATTGACCCGCTCCCCGGCTACCATTACTGTGAATGCAACATAATATATATATATATATATATATATATATATATATATATATATATATAT